AAACGCACGCTTCATGGAATAGTAAGAACATGTTAATCATTTCTGAAAACAGCCTGTTTGGATTTTTGTAGATGACATCTGGACAATTCAAGTTTTTAACTTCCGGTTATCATGTTTCGAATTGTAATGGCGGACAAAGTGAACTTTTATTAGCAAAAAAATAAACCATACATGGAATCTACTTTTAGTGAAATTGTATACGCAACACTTTAGAAATTATCGCATTTGGACGAACTGGTTTTCAAAGTTCAAATAGGCTAATTACAATGAGAAAGAAAGTTGTTTCACAGTTGACCTTTTCAAAATTAACATGCATTTTCTTTTTAAAGATAACATATAAGGAACCTGTTCGAGGTCAAGGTCCATGTGTGACCCGTATAACATGAGTACAATGTGGAATTTTTTAAAGCGATGCACTGTGCAGTAGAATAATTTATCAAGCAGCGATGTATTACGGCGTTAATGCAATTTTCCAACTATCGAGAAATATTGACTTGCTCATCCTGTAACACACAGTGGCTTAACTAATACAGGGACGGGTTGAACCAAGTCCACGTGCCCCCAGATCCCCTCATCTAGTTGAGTCACTGACAGCACGCAGACCGTTTTTCCTATCCCAACGGCAAAGCGTTAATGCCTGTAAAGTCGAATAAGAAAACTATCTCAAAGAATCGTTCACCTTAGAGAGTTACGTTCAAATTCTATCACCTACGCCGATAGACGGAAATAAGTAGTAAAATGTCAAAATGTACTGTTATTTTATTATTACGTAATGTGAACAATATTAATCTACTATTTTCATTCTTTTATCTCTTATTTTGTGACATGTTTATATTTGTCAGGACACACATTTTGTCTAGCCTGAATCAATTAAACACCATCTCAATCTGTTGGATCTACCAACAAAACATGTTCCACATCCATCACTGTTAACGTTATAACCTTATATATCGCTTTGAAATAGTTAAAGGGATTTGAATTCTATATCTGAATCACAATCTTCATCTCTCTTCAAAGTTTATTAACCCGGTTTGTTTAAAAATTAGACATGGAAAATGACCATCTTTACGATGCCAAGCTACTACGAACTTCCTACTTATTCTCTGGCGTACAATCTACTCAATCGCTGCATACTGTGATACAAGACTAGTGGCTCTTGCAGTCAAGGTATAAGTATGAAGTTCGTGATAACTAGATATTGTGAAGATGGAAGAGACTGACGGTTGTTCGGATGGTGCGAAAAAATTGGTTTTAATTGATCGTGCAACATCAAGTATGTACGTTTTTACCTTTTGATAAAAATGAATTTACAGCGGTTAGAAGGAAAAGTAAATTCATCTGTGTTAGGAAGAAACAACATTGTACAATTCCATTCATAAAACATTCACGCTCTTGCTCTAGGCATCGCGGAGTTCTTTTGAAGTCAAATAATTGTAGTTTGGTTCTTGACATTTGCATGTTATTTTATTCATGGTCTATAAGGTCACAAGATATCATCCTTGTATAAGACGGGAACACGCGAAGCAATCAACACGACCACAACCTAAATGGTTAGGGTTAACACTTTGATTTGTTTGTATATTAGGTTCCAGCGCCCACGATGCCCTTCAGCTACTAGGTTTGTCAGATCATACAGAGCTTTTCTAAATATTTTATGTGTATCGTGAACACTGATACCATCGATTTCCAACATTCCAATTTTCAGTCAGACGAATGTGGGTTTTGCAATAATCCGCTTTAACTAAGCGTTTTATGACGTCACTATCACAATACACTAAAAAAAGGACTTGAAAACCCCTTTATAAGTTAGTTACATAGAAAACGACAATAAGATTAAAAGAGAACGATTGAACTCTCATGTTTCAGATAAGTTTTAACTTCTATGTTATATATCATTTGACTTAATTGAAATATGATTAATTTAAGAGAGAAATTTTTCACTCTATTTCCACAGGCATACTAACAAATGCCATATAATAATGCTCTCAGTGGATTTGAATTTCTTTACGTATATTCCATGTCCTGACACAGTTCAAGTCTTCAATCATATTTGTGGTGTTAATATAATTATTTCTAGAAATTTATATTAATAAGAGAGACAGATATGGCACTACGTTAAACCATATGGTGAACCTGCTAAATTAAAATACACTTTAAGCGAGCGAAGTAGATCGAGATGACTTCATGGATTCCATCAAGAAAAACGGCTTTTTCAGAAATATTCAATCAAGAGGTTACTTTCCCATTTGTATACAACCGAAAACAACATAGGCCAAATCTAATTACGCTGATTGCTCTACTCTATGTTACCTTTTCCAATGTAAAATGGAAATGACTATTCTTATTAAACAAAATACAATTTCCGTTCCACTCCACAGGAAACAACTCCATCGTGGTGTGCATCCTCCCTTAGTAGCCCAAATGACATGCTTGAAATCTAGTGTAGGCGGTTAAATCCCGTTTTGTCGGGCTGAGTGGGTTGTAGTAATTTGTGTTCTTAGACTTTAAATAGTCGATACGTGATTTTTAGCTATACACTTAATGACAATTTAATATAAAATATATACCAAAAAAGTACCAGATTAACGTATGATATTAGTATATTCTACTACTTTAGATCACTCATACTAATCTGTTACCATTCCATCTTCAATCAGTTCTGAATGGAATAAATTAGTTAATGGTCTTAAAAACGAGAGCCAAAGTTGTGACCTCCATATCGTTTCTCTGACATTCCCCCGACAAGAAACAGAAATTTTAATTAGAATTTTACCTAATTGATTCTGTAATGATAGAAAAGGATGCTTAGTTGAAGGGTGGGTTCACATGAAACTAGATGATTGTTTGTTGAAGGACAAGCTACAAGAGAACTTGTTCAGATGGATTATTATTCTCCTTATTTCCCCACTTGAATCAGAGTAGCTCAACGATAATTTCATACCCATTGATCGCCTCTTAAAGCACTCCTTCTTTCCTAATACGCAGTCTTCGATTATTGGTATTACAAGGCTTATGGGGCCATTCAAATGCCGACGGCGATTTTTAATGAATTGATCGCAGCCTGTGGCAAGATAAAATAAGTATTAAATCGTGCTGTATTGAACACATGGTTAAAAAGCTGAGATTTCATGGCGTATTGATGAGCAGTTTTAAAGCCGAGACTATCGAATTTTATATAATCCACTAAACAAGATACACCTATTTTAATGTACATTTGAATCAATTTCCTAATAATCAACAGCTTATTATATGCCGTTCAATGTCATTCTTTTCCGCTATCTATCTCCATGGCGTGGTAGTAAAGCAAGACATATTAAGACACAAGTGCTAATTTTGAAAACAAACTGCTGCCAGACAACATACCAATTTAGTTAAATTAGTCTATAGATCAGTCAAAAAAATTTTCGACGAAATTTGATGACATTAATACCTAATTATTCACTCATGAATATTCATGAACTATTTAATGTGATACCATAACACATTTTATATTCCAAATCATGGATATGTCAAGACAGTTCAGAGAAATATATGCCATTTTTTATAGTGAGGAAACACAAGCCATACAATTTGAACATGGTGTTTTACATAAACTTTGCATTCTTAACTCAATCAAAATACAATACAAGAACTCTTTATTAGTTGATTTTATCGCGAAGTGACGAATAATGGCAGGTTTATTGAAATTGTACAGTTTATTTCGAAGAATTTAACAGGATTAAAGGATTCAAAAGAGCTTGTAATATCGGTAACATTAATAACCTCTGTCGAAGCCAAATGGTATTTTTTGATGGTGATATTATCTAAACGTTAAACATGTAGCAAATAAAAGTTATAATCTTACCAAAATACTCAAAAAGGTCACAAAATTGAGGTTAGTTTGAGATATTCAATAGGCTTATCGTTATTGGTGGGTTGTTTATTTAAGTACACAATTAAGTTCGTTTATTTTTGGATGTTAACCACTTTGGAAGAGGTTTTTAATGTATATATCAAAGTTTTTTAGGTATCGTCTTTATTGCAAGAGCTTCAGTGTAAGAAATCCTATTGATATGAAACTTTTTTTTAACTTGATGTCTTAATTGCAGGAAAATCTATCAGTCAGTTTGAAGGACTAGCGATTTGGCAAACAAATTTGTAAATCTAATGAAAAGCGACATATTTCGATGCTTTCATGAAAGTTCAAATATCACATTAACACATCGATTTTCTGTCAAAATTTCAAGTTCTTCTATCAGATATTACCTTTCATTATAATTTCACACTAATCGGAAATAAGCCTGTTGTCAATGGCAAGAAAATAACTATAATATTCTAAACAGAACGTCTTAGGTAAACAGAGTCATATAACACTGTCATTGAATCTGGAAGTTGTATTCACGAGATATTTGTTAAAGTAATAGAACAAATGATAAGCTTAGTTAATTTCACGAATTTTTCGCTGGGTGAAAAACTTTTCAGTCTTTTTTAAAGAAAAAGAATGAATTAATTAATTTATCATAGACACAATTCTTTGTCCTGGTAGATTCGTTTCTGTGTGGAAAGTAATTTTATGGGGTTGTACACGCTTTATTAGCAATTATCTTTGAAAGGTTTGATGACAACCATGATTAGTTGGTCATTTAGCTAATTCTGGTGACAAGGTTTCTGTTAAAGTTATAAAAAGCAAACTATCGTTATAATTAAATCAGTGAACCTGTGGTTGCGATCTTAAAGCTAGTTTTCTGAAGTTTAGTTTTACTTATTCCCTTTAATCAAAATTTTAAAAATTACCTTGCTGTCGAGAAAGACCACAGACTATGTTCACCCTTCTTTTGAATAATTGTAATCAATTTTCAAAAGCAAACATAGAGATTGTGCAAAGTGTTAAGATCCTTCACAGTTGGAATTCGAAAGAAAATGGTAATGCTAATGTCATTGAACACTGCAAGGCAATAGCCTACCTATCTTCAAAAGCACTATAATGTCTGTTTTCTCTTTTCAGAAGTTATCACCATCCAATGGATTTAAAGACTATACTCTGCCTTATTATATATTCCTTATTATTACAAATATCACACGCAGAGGAACAACTCGCCAACGACATAGAACTTTCAAATTCTCTGAACCCTGTGGACAAACGTGCATGGAAATCTAGTTATTTGAACACGTGGGGTAAACGATGGAACCCACGATACAATTTAAGAGGGTATCAGAGAATGCCAATTTGGGCAAAGAGATGGACGAATTCGGGGTTAATTACGTGGGGTAAGCGAAGTGCTGATACTGAAATTCCCATTCATAAACGAAAATGGAATCAGTTTATCACGTGGGGTAAACGTAGTGGAGTGCCATCTATTGTTAAACGTAGTGTAGGTGATGAGCTTGTACCGTGGGGTAAAAACAAAGACACTCTACCGGAACTCAATACATCTAGTGATAATTTAGACAATAAACTAATAGATCTTGAAACTACACCTTCTACAGATAAACTTTCTTTAGATGAGAAAAGAGCCAGTGATAAAGGATGGAATGGATTTACAACGTGGGGAAAACGTGCTAATAAAGACTGGTCGTCGTTGTCTACCTGGGGAAAACGAGGACAAAATAAAGACTGGTCATCATTAACCACTTGGGGGAAAAGAGGTCACGATAGGGACTGGAATTCGTTGACGACATGGGGAAAAAGAGCTAATAAGGACTGGTCTTCATTAAGTACCTGGGGGAAAAGAGCACGCGAAAACGATTGGTCAGCACTTTCAACATGGGGGAAAAGGGCAAACAATAAGGACTGGGCCTCATTAACGACTTGGGGGAAAAGAGCTAATGACAGGGACTGGAATTCTTTAACAACGTGGGGCAAAAGAGCAAAGGGAAATAACTGGTCTGGTTTAACAACATGGGGAAAACGAGCAAATAAAGATTGGAATTCTCTCACGACATGGGGAAAGCGGGCAAACAAAGACTGGTCTGGTTTAACGACATGGGGAAAAAGAGGCAATAAAGATTGGTCAGGTTTAACGACATGGGGAAAAAGAGGTAATAAGGACTGGTCGGGCTTAACGACATGGGGAAAACGGGGAAATAAGGACTGGTCAGGATTAACGACTTGGGGAAAACGAGGCAATAAAGATTGGTCAGGTTTAACGACATGGGGAAAACGGGGAAAGAATGACTGGTCGGGTTTAACAACATGGGGGAAAAGAGGTAATAAAGATTGGTCAGGTTTAACGACATGGGGAAAACGGGGAAATAATGACTGGTCAGGCTTAACGACATGGGGGAAACGTGGGAAAAATGACTGGTCAGGTTTGACGACATGGGGAAAACGAAGCCCTGATGCTACTTCTGAAGATAGTGGTGAACTTTCAACATTAGACAAAAAAGACATTAAAGGATGGAATGGTCTTACGACGTGGGGAAAGCGTTTTGCTGGGGATAAAAATAAATGGTCAAGTTTAACGACATGGGGAAAACGTGATGACAACAATAAGCAAGATGATAAAAAGTGGGCACAACTATCGACATGGGGAAAACGGTCACCCGAAGATGCTGCTGAATTATGGAAGATATATGACTCTAACGGTAGGTGAAAAACATTCTACTGGTATTTGGAGATTGATGACTTGCCGCTGATCCCTAGCTTTTCATGTTTTTACATCTGGACCGTCAACAATCAAAATATGAACTCTTTAAACAAAAGAAAATTAAACAGACTTTTATCAATGATAAACACAACAGACTTTATGAGCAACAGTTTCTGCTTTGTTCAACAATACGTCGTTTCGACGAAGGTGCTCTCGTCTATATCTAGGTAATAGCGTGTCGTGTTTATCAATATTATTATCCTCTTAAATAGATAAGAGGTATTATTACTCCACGTTGACATTAAAATCACGTGATAGAGGCATCTTAATATGTTGACTTAATTTGTAAAATGTAATTAACAACAACAAATCATTAGAATATTGTCTTTGAACAGTAATATTTGAGTCCTTTTTGATCAGGTCCCAGTTTATGGATTAAAGATTTTGAGGTTTCAGTAATCTTATTGGTTTGATTTATATAAATCGACCTTTAATCTAGTTTTATTAATCAATCATTTAGTTTAACGTGTATTTTTGAAATTATCGTGAGTCTACTGAAAACATTTATGACATGTTTGATCATGGAACTTTATTTTAGCGTAGTAAGCGAGGTGATTAGGGCACAAAGATAAGTTCAAGACCAAGTTGCTGGTAGCACAAAGCAAATTCTGTTCTGAAAGTACCGACAGATTCACTATATTGGATGATGGTTGATAGGTTGGTACTGATGGTAGCTGAGAATTCTTAAGATCTCTTCGGGTCGACTGACACGGCGGTGTATTTAATGATTGAAATATACAACGCACGGTCCGAGCTCAGATTACCTTATATAAACCATGGTTATAAAACCTGCTAAAAGTTCACCGAATTAGCCTTGACATTTTCCCTTGTTTTATTTTACTGGTAAAATCAATACTTCACTATATCATTATTTATATTGTTTATGATATCGGAGTGTAATTGGGCGTGAAAATTATATGTCATATTATCCATAAACGTTTTTATTACGTTTGAATTTAAATTATTGGTCTTAAAGTTTTATAACTGCAATTACAAACACTTTTATATCAACAAAAGCAGGAAAACGTATAATTTTAAGATATGAAATAATGAATGGATGTTTAATACCATATTCTGAAATCTTTATAAAGGTCACAGACCTATTGAAATTGTAACCTGGAAATCCATGCAGTTTAAATATGTCTACAAGAAACGTCGTTAAGGATCATTTAGGGCTATTCATTTTATAAAAAGATTTTGGTTTTTATACTTTCTTATCTTGTTGAAATGAAAAATTGAAAAATGTCATAAGAGTATATCTCTTAGTGGCTTTAAAGCTATGATATATATATTAATAGTCGCAATTTTACAATAATGTTACCAAACAATCGTAATATTAATTCAAAGTGACGAATCTTGCCCAAGGATTCATACCGTTCCATCCATTTTAGAGGTAAGCCCAGAGTTTGTCGGATGGAAATACAAATAAGATCAAAGGCGCCGATCTAGATCTGTATTTGTATGTTTATCTCTGAATTTGGAAAAGGCTGTGAACACAACTTGACAAATGCTCTAATTCCCCAAAAAATAATTTGTTCTATCGAACTTTGTGGACAAACCAAATATACCTTCAGGCGGACGAACTAAGTCATCATTCACAGTGCAGTGTGTTAACAGTGATTTCCAGTAAAAAAAAAAGTATTTAAATGGTTTCAAACTTCGCCTGATTGGTCATGTTTTAAATAAGAGAAACCATTCAGTATTCTACAAGCGACGTTTTTAAATTTAATTTCTTGCATGAGAAAATGCTAACACCACGCATGTTACTAAAATTATACCATTGAGTAGTTTTTGGATTTAAAATAAGAAATACCACAAATTCTTTAGTCTCAGACACTATTGTATTTCGCCCGAGAGCCTACTTAGACATGTTATTCAGAACTTTAATTCACCCAAATAACATGGCCCAAAGCAAAAGTTTTTTTTAAATTTTAATACACTGAAAGTACCCTACACAATTGTTTGACTCTGAACTAACTGGATTAAAAGCTGAAATACCTGGCACAAAACTGAAATGCCTGTCTTTTAAACTGAACCATCGGGCTTACAGACTGAAATATCTGGCTTAAGAACTAAAATTTCTGGCTTGAAAACTTTAATGTCTGGCTTAAAAACTGAAATATCTTACTTAACTACTGAAATACCTTGCTTAAAACCAAAATATATGCCTAAGACTGAAATATATGGCTTAAAGACTGAAATAACTGGCTTTAAACTAAAATATTTGGCTTCTAAACTGAAATACCAAACATAAATACTGAAACTTCTAGCTTGCCTAAAGACTGAAAATAGCTGGCTTAAATAACTATCTGCAATCATTGAGAAATAGAACCAAAAGACGACTTGTACCTCATCATTACCTCATTCCGGAAATTATAAAAGATACCAGCCTACTGAGTCTGTTTTAAGTTCTATGTAAGTCATTATTTTCTTTTTACTAATTGTCCTCTTGATAAACTATCGAGGCAGTCTGTAACAATTGAAATAAGTGTTTATTGGCCATAATTGTTACAATATAAGTATGATATTGCTGGCATTTTTTCATCACTAATTGGCCGTCATAATAATTTCCTTCAGAACAGTCTGCCACCCTTCATTATCCCTGTTATAATTGTCTGATTTTAAATTGAACAGTGACAGCACAAAGATATGGCAACCTTTGTCTTTGTGATGTTTTGACATAAATAGTTAAACACGTCACTGTCTGATTTTCATCATTGTGTCATTTAAAACGCCTTCAAAGAAACAGCACAATATTACGATTGGATCGAGATTTTATGACATACAACTGTGGTCCTGTCTCAGAGAAACATAAATTTTCATTCGTAAAGTAACAGGTTGGAAGGAGATTAGAATTAATCAAATGTCGTCACTTCCGGTAGTACTTTTATACAGAACCTTTAAAATCATGCAAATTAGCTATCAATCCGGAATATTGGGATTTGTGTGTCTTTGGGCATAAATCTAAAGGTTTGGAAAGTCAAACGTTGAGGTAACTATTGTGATTAGTTGAAGCTATTGTTTAGACAATTTTCTAAAATCGCATTTCATTTGATAAGAGATATGAACATTGTACATATATCGAGATACGGACGAAACTGAGATTGTGATAACCGGATACCTTTTATCAAGATTAAACATATCTACAGATATGCATCCCTTTATGTTCAACGATTCTAGTTGCATTGCAGTCGACTTCGTGTTGGGTTATAATTTGTTTTGATTCATTGTATACAATGAACTTCCAGTCTAATAGTTAAATTTGAAGAAGCATATAATTAGAGATAAAGCTCCTTTAAGTTGGAAGATTTCTAGACCAAAGCCATTGATATAAGAGTCGGGGAATGATTGACAATGTATAAGTTTGAAGTTATTAATGAAAAGCAGTAGATAATTACCACGACAAGGATAAGGAGTGAAATCTAGTCTATATAATGTATAGTAAATTAAATACTAGGTAATTGACAAGATAATCGAACACACCATAATATACAATCTTTATATGACATTGATTTTCTATTGCTACACATTAACAAGTCAATCTGGATATATACAAGATGTACACAATTCAATAAGTTTCCTGTGGACATTCGTTTCGATTTTATTTAAAACCTGGGTTGTTTTTCTCGAAATCTCTTGGAAACGAAATACTTACCAACAGCACCATCATGTTTTTTAAATAATAAGACAATAAATAATTCTTGCCGGGCAAATCAAGATTTTAAAATAAATCTATTCATTTCAAAAATCACAAGTGATTTGGAAAAACTCCACAAAGGTCACTTATTATTCCTTTCAATTAATCTGCCACATTCGTGCACTTTATGATGGAGTTTAGAGTCATAGTTCCTCGAACTGCGGAATTCTAGAATGTATATTAATATACAATGTTTGTACTGTAAACAACAATCTTCTGTTAATATATTCTCAGCTCTGGTGCACACTTGGAAAGTTTGTCAGTTTTCGTTAACCTATATCTTTTGTTATATTGCATCGAGAGCGTGACTGTCTGTACAAAGTTAAAAATGTGATTGGATTCTGTCCTCTTTCCAAGAAGAATTTCTTCTGCTCCTATTATATGTGTAATGCACCAGTTTACAACCAGTAATCAGGCGTCTCACGGTTGCCGTGTAAGATATACGTTTAAGAAATCGAAATTGCGGGCCAATGTTTTTTCACATTTATTGTTATGCTTTATGGGAATGATATTGCTCAAACTCATTTACTTTTGTACGAGTTGACACAATAACCTACAAATCATCGCTATCTATTCATCTTATTCACTGCTAATGGATTATTGTAGTTTTACAGGCGTCAGATACCTCGATAGCCTGTGGTTAATGTTGAAAAACGATGTTCAAATTGGTTAAACAAGTTTCAAATATCCATGATCAATTAGTTGAAAATGAAAATAACTTTTTTGGCCGGCAAAAAACAAACGATTAATTAAACAATGGGGGGTTTTACATCCAAACTTTCTGATCATTACACAGTTATTAATACAGGAATAATGTCGCCACAAAAGCGGCAAAAGGCAAAACAGAACTATTTGTGGTCAGAATACAGTGTAAAGGATTGCAAAGCTCCATTTTATATCACAAAGCATTAGCATTGACTGAACACAATTTTAAGTAAAACACCTGTGATCCATCGTATCACGAATACGGGTAATTACCCTCGAATGATAAAGAATGGAAGTGTGGTTTGGGCACGATGCCTCCGATCATGCATGATGGTTTTAACCAGCAGTAAGATGTGTGATAAAGCATCTTGATTAGAATTTTAATCATATTGCTTCCAATTTGTTAAATTTTGCTTAATTATACGTCGTGAATAAAGCGAAAGCAATTAAGTTTAGTTACTATAGCATAATAGGTCAGACGGGCGTTACAAGTCCCATGTCTACCGCTTTGGAGTAAAATTTCGCTTGTCATTGGTCTAATAAACTGTCGGTAAGGTACCAAAATGAAACGTGTTTCTTCATATTAATTTCTGTGTTATGATATTGTTATAGTGAAACATCAGAAGTCTTTCTATATATTCTATTGATATTGGTATGAGTTGAAGTTCAGTTATAAGATGGTCTTATACAAATACTAATATCACCCCCTAATCTCATCATAGTAAAAACTCCATTTAGCTTATTAAATCAGCTGTCAGGCAATAGTTCTATTTGGCCATGTATACCAGCGTATAACACGATCATGGCATGCAAACAAAAATAACCTTATTCAATAAATGGTCGTTTATATCAGCCTGGAATGTCAGGGTTTTCTTGAGAGGGTGAAAGCCAAGTTTGTCAATTTAGTTCACAATTCTGCTTATTTTTTCCATTTGTTACCCTCCAATGTAATCGTTCAAGTTTTCTAACACAGTTCCGTTCTAGTGGCGTAAAAAACAAGTGACAGTGAAACCTAAAGAGGCTGTAATATCGCCCTTTGGAGCCATCTGGTTGTCTCAATTTTGTGTCGTCTAAACTTGGAAAGGGAAACGGAAGGTCGGGAAAGAGTAATACAGATACAGTCTTCCATACGACAATTAAAATTCCTTTTTGCTGTAAACTAAATTTCCATCATTTCACTGTGTAAAATTCAGTCTTTCGAGACTGGGGTACGATTTCGGAATAGACTTACTTAATTCTAATAACAGGTCAGGTTGAGATTCAAAATGCGGTAGCTCTGTGGAAGCACCAAGCCTCCCATGGAGTGTCTGAAAAGGTTCTTTCAAAAGAAAATTTGAAAAATGATCTTGTGCATTCTGACACATATTTTGTATCCCCAGTTGTTAAATTACTTTCTAATTACGTCTTTAAAAAAATTGTATTTGTTTTATATTTCTAGGTGATGGGATAATGGATAAGGAAGAAATGGTATCATTTCTAAGGTCAGCCGCGTCACAGAAAGACAGTCAACAAGATGAAAAGTCTTAATTAATCATAATTAATTAATGACGTCATCGATAAATGGAGTATTATAATCAAGAAACTATATATTATTATAAATATGTGAAATTCATATCGTCCAGGAAACGTCAACAAACTATTTTAACTGAATTAAAGTCACAATGTGTACGGTTATGGTGAAATTTTGTGGTTGACAGAAATAGATACGTAGTACGCAATGCGTCAAACGTAAACGCAAATGTAGAAAGCGTTACAAACGTCAACAAAAATGGCTTTATGCACAATTCGTCGTTAAATCTTAAATAGGCCTGTGCTAACTGGAATCGAACATTTTCTACGTTTACGGTTACCGCAGTCGCAAAAGGTCTCTAGAAGAATGATTTTTATCATAAAATATTGTATGACTGGAAGAGTTGCTTTGTATTTCTCAGAAAGGTTGAACATTTCAGTTGATATTCCTTTCTAGCCTCGCAATACTACAAGATATTTTCAAATTTGTTTCTGTACGGTTTGGTATTTTAACAAATAAAAGACCTGTGTAAACTACTTACCTACCTAAGCTGACCTATCTGTTATGTAACAACCATCTTCTTGATCTGGAAACTGGAAATTCTGTAATAAATAAAAAAGTTCGCGACTATAGATATATATTTCCAGTAAACCCATAATGACGCTAAATCATACAATAATAAGAATATTATTCAAAACGTGTCCTTTAATTTAGTGAAAACATCAGTATATTTCTGTTGGCAGTATTCTTGAACAAAATAAAAAGATTTTGTTTTTTGTTTGTTTTTATATGATATTGTAAAATAGAATGTATTTTTATATAAAGTGCTTGCAGTTCATCCAATACATTTGTGCTGATTCTCTGAGCATGAAGGTCCTGAAACGTTTGTCAAAAGTTTCCCCAAATTGCCTTTAATTCTTAATGACCTATTTCGAAAGAATCCTTTCAGGGAAAATGATGTTTAAGTGCTATTACGGTACGGGGTGGGGCCAAGACAACGGTGGGGTGGTTAAAGGTATTATTGGAGAAATATTGGGCAGGTTTGCTCCCTTATGCAAGATGTTACCAATTGTGTTGATTTGCTTATACCAAATTCAAGAGGACGCGGTCAAGACAAGACCTTTCAAGAAAAACAAGATTCAGATTCAACCGGAACTTCTTAGACGCCGCTTTGGATCTGAAACAGTGTCTCTATGCACGCTATATGAAAACAGCCCCATCAGAATCTAAATTCGGGGTCAAATTGGAAAGGTTAAAGGCTCAAAGTCAACTTCTAAGGCTAAAACACTTTCAAAACTAAGTCAAGGGCGGTAAATTTGTTTAAATACCAAAATCGTGAAGAAAGCAAGCAAGTCTAGTGGAAATTTTTTATGTTTGAGGTAAGGGCGATAACTCTGTTATGATTTTTAAATACATGACTATCAGTTAAAACCTAAAGAACCTTTAACAATTTCCGTCATATAGAGTGTTAAATCTTTTTTTAAAGCACCATACGCGTTTTTTTTTTTTAAATATCGGTTAAAATACATGCCATGGACCTACTATTTTGAATCTAAGCTATCCAGAAAGGCTAATGGTAGAAAAACGCTTACTTTCAAAAGAATTGCTGTAATTCTTGCAATTTGTCATTTCATGACCGTGAATATAACCATTCTTCAATGTTTTTAGAAAATCTGTGCATTTGGAAGCCGAAGGGCATATAGTTTACGCCTTCATATTCAATGCCACAAACATGCCAATTTTTATTCAAATCAGCACGTAAAGGAGCGTACAGACATGGATGCCGATAATAAAGGCGTGGATAGGAGACTGGGCGTATGTAATCTAAAGTTATCAAAATATAGTTCAGAATTTACTAAAACAGTCACAAGCATCTAAAATCTTTGTGTTCGATGCAACGGAAAAATATTATAGGTCCACATAGGACTTGGCCTACCTGAGCTATTACACATAAGAAACCTTATGACGAACAAATTCGCGGATATGACTATATACGCTTGATAGGAACCACCCTTGAGACTTTTAATGTGTGTCGGGGTAGGCCTATGCCTTCCCATTGTCCCTTCAAAGAACTGATCTCGTCTGGTGTCAGTTTTCTCGGAACACAAGAGCCGACAAATAAAGGGAAGTAAATCTTATCAACGTTAAATTAACTGTGGTCTGACATATCTTCAGTTATCACAGACAAGGTGAACTTAGAATCTTAAGATTATTAATATGACTGAATATTTACGTCGTACTGCACTTTGCTTTATTTACGCTAAATTTCGTGATTTAAGTACCAAATGATATGGAGTTTTATGCTGATGAAAACAGGCAACTCCATACAGTGTGCAATGAGAGAAATTTGCAAGTACAGAAATGGTCAACTGATTTTCGTTTTTGATTTTCTAACTCTCAAGGGAACTTTAACTTTCACATCCAATAGGACATGGGGCCCCTCTCTGATTACATACCAAGAAAAATGTGGTTTTTTTTAGAACTTTTAATGTTGAAATCAGTAGCATTTATACATAAAAGCTATTCAAGCATTCAACAGAATATATAATTCAGGAAAGATATAGCACTCATCAAAAATAACAACAGACTTGTACATCAGTTATAAAGTTTTAAGCCACATACAAATTTAACACTTTGAAGTTCCACACTCTATTAACCAAATCCAGATTCATAAAAATAAAAACAATATTCATATACCCTGAACACTTTTTTTTACGGAAAATTGCAGGGACAGTTTTCGATTTTTCACATGATAAATCTAATAACTTCGTGACATTTATCAATTTTTGAATTAAGCAATCAACCAGTTCTATAGTCAATTAATCAACAGATTTTATCAAATTTCATAACATTTAACAAATCGTAATAACACAGATAACTTATATAATTAAAAAAATGCACCAATCTACCTATAAAAGCACTATATTTAAGATATTTATATATTTTACTAATCCATTACTAATATATATACCGGTATTTAATAGGCACTATTATCAATATACAATTCATTGCATTACCCATGCTTCACATACTATTATTGAAATAGTGTCCGTAAGTCAATTAGCAAACTTTTACAGTCTTCCTACAAAATAAGTTATTATACTAATATGTAACTGAAAGACAAACTAATCTTCTTAAAGGGACATCCTGCTTTTTCTGTAGGTTGAAAAAATTTTATGCTCAAATTTGTCAATACTATTCACCACAATCTAGATAAGAGAGGCCCATAATGTATCTGCAAGTTTTAACTTAAAAAATTCAGACGTTTATTTTTTAACACCAAAACTATTTAAAGAGTTCATGTAAACTTTTTAAGTTTGTTATGCTTTTTTGGAAGCTGTTTGAAAACTACTGTAAGGATTTGAGCTAAATATGTCTCCTACATATTCTAAATGTTTCAACAAAAAATATTAAGCCCAGTAACAAAATTTGGTCAAACTGCATAATTAACAATTAGTACTCTCCGTTTTTTATTAAACCTTTTTAAAACAAATTTAGTTTTATCAAGTAGATACATAGATATAAATAGCATACATTAGAAATATTTTCAGGTACAATCTACAACGTTTCTGATAATGAAAACTTTTTACAAAATAAGAGGAATGCCCTTTTAAATAAAATTGAATAATAGAGAGCATGGCTGATTTCTCAACACATTTATGGGCAATACAATTTGCATCAACATTGAAAGCTAGATAAGGAGGTGTTAAATGATCGAACGGAAAACTTAGTCAACCCCTACTTCAAAACTAGCTGTTGATATGGACAAGACTTCAAATACATGAGCTATTGACTGCCAAACTCCTTTAACAAATAATTCACAATATTTGCCTCATATACAAGGTTATTATGTCACATGATATTCTATACCCGGATTCATTGATAGAATCAATTCAGTATAATTATGCTTAACTCTTTCTCTAAAATTCTTGCTGTAAGATTTCATCTCCTTAAATTTTATTCTAACACTTAACAAAATACAACTATACTGACACACGAAACTCATATTAAACGAAATGTGACAGGTTTATTCTTTTCAAACAAAACAATAATTTCTAAATAAATTTCAACTATTACAAAACAAAAGATTTTAAAATCATCAATCTATCATATCAATCTTGTCTAAATTTTAACAAATGAACTGTTATAACTAATCATTGGAAATCTTGTGCCCATTCAGAGTGAATGTTAAACCTACCTAAAGTAAATGTGGCATCTGTTCATGATGAACTATTCCGTGGAAATGTTCACAGGAAGGTTGCAACTTATTGAATAAATCTCTATATAATTGTTGCAACTTTTCACTGGAAATACCAGGATATTGTGTTTTCTGAATATGCCATAGAAATATATATTCTGTATTTAATATTTTGTGGTTTTGTCCACGAATAGTTTCTTAGTACATTACAAAACCTAAGAAATTAACAATAGAGTGAGTTAAGTAAAGCAGAGAGACTTAATAACTGAATCTACTACTTTGAGAGTATCCTAGTTTATCCAAGTTAGGGATACAAGCAAAGTTAATCATTGGTGGAGGACCACACATAACAATGATAGTATCATCTCCAGGTGGTGGAAGACTCTTAGAAATCATATCACCATCAACAAATCCTTTAAAATGAGTCCAAGCTGAAATAGAAATGTATATTATTTCTTCAAAGAGCTATCAGAAATGAAATGAAAGATGTTGGATGCCATACTTTTCTGCACCTCATTAATCTAATCAGGAAATTTTGTCTAGACTTGAGCAGAAACCTTTCCAACTGACAAGGAATCTTCAACGAGCAGTCTGTATCATTTATTTATTGTCCCATCTGAGGGACAAGATGCTTTTCTCTGTCAGCCCTCCTGATCTGCATTACTGACAAGGGGATAACCAGTTTAAAAAATCTGCAGTTATCTCCAGCTATGCCGGAATTAAACCCGCGACATTAAGGCTAGCTAGCAAGCATCTTACCCATTGAGCCACTGTGACTCTTGGGTCAGAGGAGAAAAGCCTGATCCATTTTCAAGGATGCCCCATATTAGTGGTTTTGTGATGAAACCATTTTAATTACATTATAAGGAACACTGATTGGAAATGAGTGACCAACCACTTAGGTTTTGTGCACAATTCATATGAACTTTGGACATTTTGTCATTCCAGACTCACCAAAATTTAACACAACTTTAAAATTCTGATAAAATAAAAAGATAAAGTAAACTAACTAGATTCAGGGCGGTCTAGAGTATAACTCAGGTGAAATCTAGAAGGATGAGATTGTTGGATATCTTCTAACTCTGGTCTCAATAGAATATCTTTCTCAGTCTAAAAATACAATTTTAATACAATCAATGTTTCTGGTCAGTATAGAATTCTGTAATCTGATACCCACTGGGCTCATCAAAATTGTCAGGAGAGAGAGAGGAGTGTCCTATTACTTTTAGTTATAGTATAACTGGAACCAGTGGTGGAGCCAAAGGGGACAGCTCCGAAAGCAAGTCCCCTCCTCCCCCCCCCCTTGTACATTGTACAATCAATGGTTTAACCATTCAGCCACTAAAACGGCTTTTAGGCTGAATGTGTACCAGCTGAGTATCTCAGCCAAAACATGACAATACTGTTAAGTAACCCTGTCGGGTCTTAGGTACATCAAAACATGCAGGAATCATATAAGTCTCTTCCAAAATGAAATACAAAGCAGAATGTATACCTGATTAGCAAATAACAACCAGAGTTCAGTCTTATCTTCAGGATCTTTAAATACTTGTCTAATCAGCTGTAACATTGGAGTTATACCTGTGAAAATAAAGAAATGGTTATGGTTAATTTGAGCAATAAAAGAACTAACCATTCTTCTCTATTTGATCGATGAGTGAAAGTCTGCTGGCCAACAAGTCCTTGTTTCTGATCTTCCAGATGACCCAGCTGTTTTTAAACAGGTACAGATAATCCAAGAAAGATCAAAACCAAGAGGTTTGGTCAAGAACCAGTTGGTAGAAAGGATCTTTGTGTATCTAAGTTGTTATCCTTATAAAAAAAAAAAAAATGGTTGTTTTTTTCAAAATGCAGGACTTAAATAGCTCAAATCAAAGAGGATGAAGGTCACAAACCTGTACCACCAGCAATCATTCCTAATTTCTTAGCAACTTTAGTTTCTGGTTCAGATTTCTTGTCAGCTCTGATCTTCATGGTACCTAAAATATAATACACAATGAAACAATACTGTGTAGAGTGACGTCGTAAAACGCCTAGTTTTAGTACAATTACAAGAACCACAGACATCTGACTGAAAACTGAAATGGTGCAAATTGATGCTGTCTGTGTCCCTGATACACATTAATTTTTTTTAGAAAAACTATCTTTTATTAGGCATTTAAAATTATTCCCACATAACATGCTCTGATATGCATTAAAAGTACACAAATTTTACCTCCTTCCTAATTTCCTCGAAAAAAAAAAAGAAATAATTGCTACTGAAATAGTTTAGTTATTCTTACCTTTTCCTTCATAAACCAATAAACCATTGGGTCCTCTAACATCTATATAATCATTAATAGACATACTCTCTAGATGTTGTGACATCTTACCACCATCAGGAAACTTAGGATGAACATTCTTAAAATATATCTACAAAAACAAGTTTGGATCTGACAGAACATTCCGTGCAACATTCGGAAACCCCTCAACTAAAGAATATAAAAATAACATAACCAAACTAAAAGTGCTCGTAAGTTTGGAATAGTCACTGGCCCTAAACATGCATAAATATCTTTCAGAAAAATCCCAAGATGTTTGACCAAAGACTCGTCGGAGAAATGATTCTTAGTTGACCCAAGTTTTTTTTTTTCTGACTTTGGGGACTAACTAAAGTTTACCTTAACAACTAGATCCATGAAGCCCTTATCATCATCACTAGATACTGGTGTATAGGGTCTGATAATCAACTGACCATCAATACGAGCTGTCAGGTAGATATGCTGTCCTGAAAAGACAAAACAATAGGCATATTAACAAAGAAATTTCAAAAACACTAAAACCATAGTAAATCATAGTATATATATACCAATTATGCAGAAAGATAACATTTTTGTCATTGGAGTTCTGTGAAAATGTTTCTATCAAATGATAAAGTATAGGAGACTTTTTACAAATAAACCAAAATAAGAATTTTGACCAAAATAAATTGAAACACAAAGATGTAGAAACGTACCAACAGGTAAACCAAGAATATGTTCTGGTGAAGGAAGAGCGAATCGAAATCTTCTGGTATCATGACTTATCTCCTGGAATATAAAAGACAAACAGGAGTATATAAAATCTTCCATACACATACTGATCTATATAGAACACACAAGAAATTTACAGGTGCACGGCCTCTCATCCACCTTTAGTGTTATGATAACACTATTTTCAAACATACTACTACTTCAAAATATTATTGTTAATTGTATTTAGTTATAATTCCTATTTCTATGAAGCTGAAAGACACTCATTTAAAAAAAAATAATAATAATACATACCTCTTTGTCAACCAATTTTAGTGGAACTTTCACATTGGGATCTTTAAGAGTGATCTTGGCCGACTTTTTCTTGCCGAAAAGGAAAATTTTGGCAAGTACTGCTGTTACAGCTACTACTGCAACGCCTACTACTACTGGCACTGCCTGCAAATATAGAATTCAATTAGTTAATGGAGCTTATTGAAAAAATGATCCCTTTTAGTACCTATGAATAAATCATGGACAAAAGATGAAATATTAAAAGAAAATATCATCTATTATCAATTAGAAAGTTGAACAAAAAAAATGTGCCTATTTTTGATATTATTACTTATATGACATGTGTATCATTGGGGTTACTAGCAAGAATTGAGGCTGGCAATTTTCAAATTTCTGATCATGTTACTGACAGTCAGCCCCCTAGACTCATAGAAACACTGATGTAGACTGTCTTCAGAGGGAAAGGTAGATGAATAGTGGTGTCCAAATTTATGGAATCATCAATTTCGGTTCTGAATAGTCAAAAATATCAAAATGAGTATTGGACAAGAATATCAATCTGATATGTAAGGTTTAAACTAAAGGGAACCTCTTCAGACTATTGTTGTGCATATGATAGGTCTAATTAGCTTGCTCAAATAGTCAAAGCATGGTTTTTTTTTTTTTTTGACAGGCTTCCATGATCAATGTTAAAATTCTATAAGGAATGGGGCCCAGTCATATCAGTCTAAAGGCCAGTATAGCCCAATGACTTTCTACACTGTTAGCTAGTTATGGTACAATCAATAACATTCAGTTAGCTAACAAAGTATTATCATAAGTTACACTTGAATGACTTTCAACTCATTACTAGTAAATGAGAAAAATATCATTAGTCAATAAAATATCATAGTCATAGCCGGCTTGCTGGAATGTTTCATTTGACATTGAGCCAAACTACCGGTATAGCAAGCTGTGTACCTAACACCATAAACCTTGTATCACAAATAACTTACAATGGCTGCAGGACGGTTGAAGCCTGTCATGACTTCTGATTACTGAATTATGTTCTTTACTAAATAGTCACAAACACAATAAACAAGTTCTTCCTTCTGACTGACCTCACTGAGTGAGATGTTTTTACACAAAAATGTGTGTGAGCTGGTTCAGGATTGAGATTAATCATGTGACCTCATCTGTTACTATTTTTAGATTTGTAGCAGACAACCCAAGTCAATAAAATGGTGAATAAAGCTGAACTTTCTAATATAAATATATATTACTATTCAGTATACAAAGTTCAATCATAAACAATTCACCAAATCTCCGAACATTGTTAACTTGTTATTTTGGCACAGCAACATTAAAACCACTAATTATAATATTATTTCTCCACTATCTTTAACAAGGCCTTCTTGTCGGACAGCATGACCAGGTTACCCAGTATTATGGACAAGGAAGGTCAAACAAAATTTGAACAATGTTACCTCACACAAATTATAAACAAATTAGAATACATATCTTGCATCTATGTGCTGATTTTAATTTACAATTTGTTTTTATTTACACCATGAAGTGCAAAATGAAAAGATCTTTTGCACTCATAAGATTAATGACATAATGACAGGGAAACCTAGAATTACATGACACAAAGCAAAGCATTTGAGCAGTCTTATTTTACCTTTTGTATCACTGCTTCAGCTTATTTAGAATTTTCCAGGACCACAAAAAAAGGACACTTGTATACGATACCTATGATCTTAAAATTTTTATGTGAACCTGTGACAGAGTTTATTCTCATGCTTTCATTTACATAATTTCAAATTCTGAGACCTTTCTTTATGGTCAGTGAGCATAAAAAAATCCATAATAATTATGACTAAAATATGAATGTAATAAGCAACAGGTTTTCACTAGCTAGCTCAAGTCTCTACTGTCAGTTGATATTATATGGCTGTGGAACACATTCCTTGAAACAAATGTTAAAAGACATAAAATCCAAATATTGACAAATATTACATGAAAAAACCACTGCGTTGTCAGGAAATGGGAACAGGGTTGATAGAACTGTACCTGATGCATGTAACAAAGCAAGGAATTAAATTTCAATCATTTCAAAAGTAACTCAAGAGTAAATCTTTTATTTCTTAAGTCCACTTATTTTGGAACCACAAGAGATAAATGGAATCCATGAACTGTTTATTTTATTCCACCCTTCATTTGAATCTAATTGCAATAATTTGTCTTCTCAGATAGACAACATAAATGACCATCAAAATGTCCTGTATCTCATTATACTAGTGGTATATTAATGAGACCTACTCACATCTCTTTGATGTCTTAAAAAATTACATGGTTATTGCCTTTGATACCTGAACTGGTTTTTGTGTGGTGGTCGAAATTACTTGTATACTTTATAACTTAACAAGGATAAAACCAACACACCCATCAAAACAACAATACACAGGTCAAAGTTCAAAATGTATGCATAAGACATTAACGTAACAAGGTCAAGACATCCTATGTCATTTAAAATAGAGAAGAATAACAAAGCAAAATTTCCATTGCCATCCACCCATGATCAATTCAAAGCTAACCCATGGTTCCAAACGAGATGCAAGTGTTCCTCATAATTTTTATCTTGTTGGAACTCAGGATCTTTTAAAAAAAAAACTCAAAAATGCAAAGTTTGTTGAGCCTCAAACAATGTAACAGCTCCAAGCAAAACATTTTTTAAATGAAATACAATCTTACATTATCTTTCAGAAAATCCATGATGTTTTCCCTATTGATAAAATATCCTGTCGAAAAGTTTTAAAGATTAACATAAACTAATACAAGTGAGAATTGTGCTGCAACACCAGTATGCTATTTCTATAGATTAGGCAAGTTATAATGGAATTTAATTTAACAACAGGTGGAGTTGATATATATATACAGCCACAAACAAACTATCATTAGTCATAGCAAACTACCAGGTCATTTTTCATTCTTATCACCATTCTGTACACTTCAGTCATTCAAATATGTTAAATAGATTCTACAATCACACCATAGTATTGATATTTCTAACCTTCTTAAGACTCATAATATAGAACTTTAAATATCTTAATGCACTCAGCAGTAAAGGGTTTCTAGAGAGGTTTTCTAAAATTTGTGATAGTATTATCATCAAATACTTAGTTTTAATGGAATTGAAAGAACCACAGACATCTGAATGAAAACCAGAATGGTGCAAATCAATGATATCAGTGTCCCCATACACATACATAAACAGTTTAGTAAACCTCTTTCCAATAAGTTTGAAAGATACTTCACTAAACATGTGTTTGACATTAAATTTTTACAAACCTTTAATTCCAAATTGTTCTGTTCTTAAATTCCTAACTATGCACTAACATAAATCTTATAATCTAAAATCTAATATAATCTGTGTAAATTGCAAGACAGAGTTCTGACTGAATATTGGAATAGTGCAAAACAATCTTAGCCCTAGGATGTCCTAGGATCTTAAATCATAACACTGTTTCTAAGATATCCTAGCACTAAGATCGTTTCGAGAAAACGTAGCCTGGTGATGTACTCTCGAAACAAGGTTAGCTGTAGGATATCCTAGAAACAATGTTAGAAGTTAAAAACCTAGGACTGCGCTAAGATAATTTTAAGAACACTGCCAGGTTTTTTACTGTGATATCTGAAGTATGAGTGCTCCTCATACCTACCAAAAACAGCAAGGTTCAGCTGAAAGTTCGTATAATTGATCTATTCTGATAATAAGAGGAATCAGACCACTGAATACTAGGCTACCATTCTGATGATGCATTAGCAAAATCCACTCAACTATAGGCCTACCCACTTTCCTATATCATTATCATAATAGAAATAGACTTATGTATTGCCATTGGGTAGCAACAGATATAACTGAATAAGATTATAGTGTTCTGAATCAATTAAGAAACCTGTTCAGTAATGCATGAAAAATTCAATAAACTCATTCTATTAATCTAATATCAGATATTTACATATCACAACACCTCAGCCGAAAATTGCTACGTATTCTGCAGCAAACAACAGTCTTGTTGGGGGTTGCTGGTGCGTGGTGGCAAAAGCCGGGCTGGCCTCAATGGGGTGCCATTAGTTATTTTCACTTGCGAATTATATGTTTATGTGTTACTTACCAGCAACTCTGATGGTGCCATGATTGAGAGAAGTAATGCAGCAGGATTTTCTACTGGTTCGTTCGATGATCTTTACCCTCGCTCACCTGATCAAAACACTCCACTAACAACCTGAGACAAATCAAGTTTTCAAAGTTGAAGTTTACGAAGGGAAGTAACTCCATGAAGTAAACAGAACTTCAGACAACAAAGTATATAAAATACAATTTTTTTCTTTTCACGGGACATAACTCTTCAGCTTCTTATGGGCAATCAGGCAACAATGTACCAAAGAATTTATTTTTAAGCCTCTTACTTTAGACTCTTATGACATGATTTGGTAGCATTTACAGGTTTCAATATATAATGATATAGTCAAATTGATAGTTCAACGAAAATTTTGCATACGTGTGACAGTCGGTAAGAGAGAGGATGGGGTCCGTTGGAAACTCTCATGCAGAGCGTAAGATCGTTTGGGTTGAGTGTGTTCGTTCACAGCCCTTAACATGTTTCATAACCTTATCTAATTCGTAGTATTTTGAATACAGTTTTTGCGTTCTGAATAACTAATTCGGATGAAAATAACTCATTCACCCTGCAATGTTTTCTTCGTATTTACCATAAAAAATGAAAGTTCAGAATGCTCGTGGCATAAAACACAAGGTTCTTAACGAGACAGTGCTCCACTTAACATCGCCAACCATTTCTACTACTGGGTCTTCATCTTAAAGCTAAAGTTGAACGCTATATCGTATATATTAAGCGGAGAGTAGGCCTAGACATCACCTTCAGCAAGCGATGGAAATAACTCAAACGTCTTTATTTGACTTTTCATCACCGACCTTTAAGACGTGTCTGTGCTGACTCATTCTTGGATTATCTAATTACATTTCCAGATCTTCAGTACTGATTATCCTCAACATAGTTGTCCTTTACGGTTGTCAAATATGTCAAGCTAATACGAAGTTATACCTTGACAACAATAGCCATCTTTCTTGTGAAAAGAAGTTAAGTGTGTAGTGATTTGATAGGATTGTTCGCTAGAAAATAAAGTCAATCGGAGCCTTCCTACAATTTGACTGCTGGTGTAATCACAGGTTATGATTGGCTGTATTTCCTAGCATACATTCCAATTAAATCACTTCATATACAACTTCTGGGATATAAGAAAGGTGGCTATTGCAGTCAAGGTATTTGACGGAGTTCACAATAACTTGACATTTTAAACATGAGTATGAAAGAGAAAGGCCCCTTTTAAGATAATCTTATCGCATAATGTAGACGGAATATCCGTATAATTTATTTATATATCCTGATAAATGCTTAATTGTATATTTTGTTCGGGGCAGTACTTGTACAATTTGTATTGGACGACTTTCATATTCTCAGAGCTGAACAACGACATCTTGAAGTATATCTGTGAGAATTTTGAAAGAGATCAGTTTACCAACAGTACAGATTTTACCCGTCGAGCTTTGGGACGTTTATTTTGACACGCGATAAATATTTCTTCTTTTGGGGATGAATGACATTCACATTAATTTCAGCCACAAACGTCATTGGAAAGCCATTAATAAGACAATTGTATCTCTACTAACAATGTAAATTTATGACATCCTACAATTGACGACAGACTAAACTTCCACGGTACGTTTTTAGCCGATTTGAAGGAGAAGCGCACGTTAGATCCTTGAAAGTCGTAGCTGAATTTTGGATGTATTGGACAGTTATGTAAACATTTGAGCGGTTATATCCCTATAAGACAGATGAAAGAAACGGCGTATTTTAATATGCGAAGTATGGAAACTATATATATATCAGATAAAGTTCAAGTTATGTCCCCGCTGACAATATTGTGTCGTAGTTGGTTCCTGCATGTCATCCAGTATCTAATATTATTCTTTTTCTTCCTTTTCCATATTTTTTGGTTGAAGTAATTTTATTGAAACTGAATGTAATTTATACTCCTATTCACGGCAATCTGTCTACGGAAAACTATCTTATTCCTTAGACCGAAACATCTTCTGTTACAGCCACCAATATATATTTTGAAAGTTATCGGCTGGTGTAGAGACATAAAAAGCAGTTTCTTTTTTTTTTGAGGTTTTTCGCACCCAATTTAGTCATCTCAAAGATAATTAAATATATCTTTTTCAAAAAAAGCATCTTCGGAGGTGTGGAAAATCCCCATTAAACAGGGCCTATTTTTTCTGACTCTACTCCAGCCAAAAACTGTTAAAATAGCTATCAGCGGCTATATAGAGCCAAATGTTTCAGACTCCCTTAGCCCTAACCCAATGTTTTAGCTATAGTTGGACACGATACTATGTATTAACAGATGTAACAATGAGCGTGATGACAAAGAACAAGAAATTGCTTTAGGATCAGGCTTTCCCAAATGTCTGTGCGAAGAACTATCTGAAACAGTTAAGGGGTTTTGATACAGAGAATCGATGTTTTTATTTAATTATCTTCAGATATTTAACGTCTGGTGGTTCATTATTTAAGGTAGGCCAAATATTCAAGATGTTATTTTCATTATTCAAGATAGGCCAAATATTCAAGATGTTATTTTAATTATTTAAGGTAGGCCAAATAATCAAGATGTTATTTTCATTATTTAAGGTAGGCCAAATAATCAAGATGTTATTTTCATTATTCAAGGTAGGCCTATTATTCAAGATGTTATTTTCATTATTCAAGGTAGGCCAAATATTCAAGATGTTATTTTCATTATTCAAGGTAGGCCTAATATTCAAGATGTTATTTTCATTATTTAAGGTAGGCCTAATATTCAAGATGTTATTTTCATTATTTAAGGTAGGCCTAATATTCAAGATGCTATTTTCATTATTTAAGGTAGGCCTAATATTCAAGATGCTATTTTCATTATTTAAGGTAGGTCTAATATTCAAGATGTTATTTTCACTATTTAAGGTAGGCCTAATATTCAAGATGTTATATTCATTATTTAAGGTAGGCCTAATATTCAAGATGCTATTTTCATTATTTAAGGTAGGCCTAATAATCAAGATGCTATTTTCATTATTTAAGGTAGGTCTAATATTCAAGATGTTATTTTCACTATTTAAGGTAGGCCTAATATTCAAGATGCTATTTTCATTATTTAAAGTAGGCCTAATATTCAAGATGCTATTTTCATTATTTAAGGTAGGTCTAATATTCAAGATGTTATTTTCACTATTTAAGGTAGGCCTAATATTCAAGATGTTATATTCATTATTTAAGGTAGGCCTAATATTCAAGATGCTATTTTCATTATTTAAGGTAGGCCTAATAATCAAGATGTTATTTCCATTATTTAAGGTAGGCCTAATAATCAAGATGGTATTTTCATTATTTAAGGTAGGCCTAATAATCAAGATGCTATTTTCATTATTCAAGGTAGGTCTAATAATCAAGATGTTATTTTCATTATTTAAGGTAGGCCTAATAATCAAGATGAAATTTTCATTATTCAAGGTAGGCCTAATAATCAAGATGTTATATTCATTATTTAAGGTAGGCCTAATATTCAAGATGCTATTTTCATTATTTAAGGTAGGCCTAATAATCAAGATGTTATTTTCATTATTTAAGGTAGGCCTAATATTCAAGATGCTATTTTCATTATTTAAGGTAGGCCTAATAATCAAGATGTTATTTTCACTATTTAAGGTAGGCCTAATATTCAAGATGCTATTTTCATTATTTAAGGTAGGCCTAATAATCAAGATGCTATTTTCATTATTCAAGGTAGGTCTAATAATCAAGATGTTATTTTCATTATTTAAGGTAGGCCTAATAATCAAGATGAAATTTTCATTATTCAAGGTAGGCCTAATAATCAAGATGTTATATTCATTATTCAAGGTAGGCCTAATATTCAAGATGTTATTTTCATTATTCAAGGTAGGCCTAATAATCAAGATGGTATTTTAATAATCAAGGTAGGCCTAATATTCAAGATGTTATATTCATTATTCAAGGTAGGCCAAATATTCAAGATGTTATATTCATTATTCAAGGTAATATTCTTATACAAAATATTTGTCATTATTCACGATTTAAGTTTCATTTCTTCAAATTATCCGTTTCATATTCAATACATTATTTTCATTTTTCAATACATTATTTGTATTATTTGCATTATTCAATACGTTATTTGCATTATTCAACATTATTTGCATTATTCAATACATTATTTGCATTTATCAATATATTATTTGCATTATTCAATACATTATTTGCAATATATCAATATATTATTTGCATTATTCAATACATTATTTGCAATATTCAATACATTATTTGCATTATTCAATACATTATTTGCATTTTTAAATACATTATTTGCATTATTCAATACATTATTTGCATTATTCAATACATTATTTGCATTTTTAAATACATTATTTGCATTATTCAATACATTATTTGCATTATTCAATACTTTTTTTGTATTATTCGCGATATCATTTTTCCGAGATTTCGCGATATCATTTTTCCGTGATTTCGCGATATCATTTTTCCGAGATTTCGCGATAAAATTTCATAGCTGTATTTCTTATCATATGATTTACACTTGGTTTATATGTAGTTGTTTTTTTCAACGGTCTCTTGTTTATTGGTTTCGGTTATGACGTTCATCTATCACAAGGTGAAAATTTTATGAAATGATTCAAATGAAGCCAATTTATCACGTTTGTACAAAACAATTACCATTCACTTTCATTGACTATATGAAGAAAATTTTCAATATTTAAGAAACTTTGGGAATTTGTATTATTCCTGTTGAACAAATCAACAACAACACTATCAATGAAAATATCGAAGAGAGAGAATTTATGTCGAAAAATATGTGAAACTTGTTTAATTTTTTTTTCTCACTCAGGACGTAACAAATTCATCTTCATGTGTGATTTCTACATTATTGTACTGAAGAGCAAAAGCTAGGGATGATTCTTGATGCCTTAAACCAGGGATGTATTTAGAAAAAGTCTGAGAGACGTCCAAAGCCCCCACCCTCTTCCTTAATAGACCACTGCCTTGAAACCAATAGTAAAGGTTTGGTAGCCAAAAAATAATTGTGTCGCATGATTACAGACTGTTTTCTCTACAATGTAATCGCCGAATCACGACCACTTTGCGTATATTCTTTGAAACTGATAATGAAAAGTTATCACCCCAAATATAATAAATATCATGATGTTTTATACAGTTTTTAAAAAGTAAATTAACAGTTAAAAAATCAAACACGGCTGGTTTAGATGTAAATAAAAAACGTTACTTTTTTAAAAGTGGTTGCTCATGGAGTTTTTTCTCAGAAAGTGTCTCAGTACTCAGTACACATTCCTATTTGTTCCAATCAGTATATTCTCTACAAATACATATTGTTCGCGGGTTCTAATGCTGACAGACAATGGTTATAGGATTAAAGGGACAGATTCTCCACCCTCTAAGCCAATCGTACTTTATAGTCTCAGAAACGTGAATTGTTTAACCTAGGCTAATCATGGTTATAGTGATGACAGCTCACCAACGAAATTTGGGCCGTCAAATCTATATGTGTCCAGAATTATTCGCGTTTGAATCTTAAATTGACGACTCGTCTTTTCTTGAGATAAATATAGAATTATAGTGTGAATTGAAGGGATTGTGCAGTTCTAGTTCTTCTGTAGATTATTTTCTTTATTCAAGACCCGAATCAACTTTCGAAAGTGGCACACCATGGCCTTTGACAAATAACGGCAAAAAAAACAAAAGGGACGCTATTACGTAAGAAATGTCTTACATTTAAAGAGGGCTTATTTTTGGAAGCCGTAATTTTAAGTGCTTACATAAGCTTGCTCAATCAAGCGCATTTCAAGTGTGAAATAAAAAAAAAACCCTGATTTACAAGAAACGTTTAAAACACAAAGATGTCTTCCTTAAATATAAAGCCCTGGCGTATTCTGTAAAATCAAAGAAAATTTCCAGTCGGCAATTTAAAGATTATACTTTTTTATTGACAGAATAAATAGCAGGGTCGTCGCGGGAAAACTGCCTCGGCCTTGTGATTGGTGTAAATTAGTTCCTACACAAGAAGCTTACTTACTGGATTATAATGATAATAAAAATGGTTATGCCTATTGGGAGACCACGTGTTCGCTTTTTCCTATATTTATAAGAAATCTTGGATGACGATTTAAGTCCATATAGCTACAATAAAGACGACAACATCAAAGAGACAATATTGGTCCATAAATACAATGTGAGTAGATCTTTTCTTTTTTTTTAAAATGATTTTAAGGTGGAGCGGAATGTCAAACATTGTGATAGTATTCTAGAAGTACGGAACTATCCAAAGTTCTAAAGAGGTTTTGAATTAGGGAATCTTTGAATTGTTGATGTGTAAAGTTTACATTGCCGGTTTTTAAGCCATTTTGATACTTTTGTAATTTTGAACAGGATGTGGGCGCTATCTTAAGTTCTGAAAGGGTTTAGACAGGAGATTGGGGACTTTATCATCGACAAAATAAAGGGGTTCCGTAGAGGTTGTATGAGTATCGACGGTTTTTTTTATTTTCACTATTCCGGTTCCTGTGGATTGAAATATGAATCAAAATTAAATGACAGTTTGGTTTCATGTCCCAATCTGTTTCATCTCGACATAGATGTAGTTATAGACATTCCAATTCAGTGGCGGCTTCAGCCCTACAAATAGGAGACAGACAGACAGTCCTGACTGAATTCAAAATGCTACAACTCCTCGGAGGTGTCATTATTGCAGGCTTCACATGAACGTCTGAGAGGGTTCTCTCGAGAAAAGGATCGCAGAATTGTATTGATTTTGAACATTCTGACACATATTTTGGAGCAAAACCCTATTAAAATCATATATTTTTTAATTTGTTAAAATTGTAATGGGGGTACAATTGGGAGTGCAATCCATATTTCTGCACCCCCACTGGCACTGCCAATGTTCCAATGAGATTTCCAAATGTATGTTTTGGGACACTTACATCTTTTTACCAGTCTGATTTTCTGTAGGAGTGTTTGACATCGTTAAATTCAAATAAACTCGATTATGATTTTCTATCTCAATACCAATTGCTTGTATGGTGTGATTTGGTTCCTAATCCCTTTTGATTCCGATAAGATCTCTGTAGAAAGAAAATATGTTCAGCTTCTCGTCAATTTCTCTCTACTGATCTTAATTAATTCTGTGTGATATTCGTTGACTTATGATCTTGTCTATTTTCTTTTTAAACTGTTAAAAGCCCAGATCACACTTTCGGTTGTCTAACTCTTTCTTATTGCTCTTTTCAACAGGCTTCATGCGTTATATAATTTGTCTATTTATTGCGATGGATTCTACAGAACAGTCTCTCAAATTGAACGAAGGTCATAATTCGAGGCCCTCCAGGCTGTGCATTCAATAACTAGAATTATAAAAACGTTGGTGTTGAATAAGAATGTACAACTATATATTTGTTCATCATTTGGCAGTAATTATTTTTTCTAACTGATATATCATGTCATGATTACATGTATAAATGAACTCTCAGTCAAAATGTGGTTTAAGGAATGGGGCATTAGGACCAAATGCATTTTACTGCCTTAGACAAACTTGCTATCGCGAAAGCGATTTCTTATTCAATGTGAATTTAGACTCATACTTGATCATATAGTAGACAAACATAGCTTAAAGGCAACAAAGTATACATAGTACAAATGTTACAAAAATACGGAAAAGAAATGGAGTGAAACAACCTGTTCGTCTAAAATTACAAAAGCATGTGCAGTAAATGGCTTAATCCGTAGAAGTTGAAATTGTCCAAGTAATGCCAATTCCCCAATACACACGAAGAGAAAAAGATCAGAGAGACCAATATCGAGTTATTTGATTGAATTCGACCAGATGTAGGATTACATTCTTAAATGTGACCTGAGTCAAAGATCTCGGAACTCTTAGTAAGAAGATCAACGGAAGGAAAAAAACTGAAACGTTCACTTCATCGGGGCTTCATCTACTCTAAGCTTCAGTTGAATGTAAGGCTTCTCTTGTGTCCTGTATTTCAATACATAAAGACAACACAGGTAATTTGGTAGTCGAGACAGACACCTTGCTGGAAAGGAAATTAAAGGAGCAGTCCGATTTTTCAAGTAGGTTGGGAAAAATTAAGTGCTGAAATAAATGAAAACTATAGACTAAAATCTTATAAAATCGCTATGTTTTTGGTTGTTGTTGGAAAACTAAAGTAAGAATTTAATTAATATAAACGCTAAATTATTTAGAAATTATCCCGTACTTAGTCTGATTGTTTCAACTGAAAATATCGAGCTGTTATACAGCCGAACATAGTTAATTAGTACACTTACTTTTAAATCATCCTCTTTAAAACAAACTCAGAATGATCAATAAGTAGATGCATGGTAGTAGATAGTATCAAAAATCTGTTACATAATTTACAACTTTCTAACATTGTGCATACTACCCCTTTAATCCGTAATCCTACAGTTTTCTGGTTAAATAAACGCAATTGTTGTGGGTGTAGCGAAAGAAGACGACGATCTTCGGATAGTTAGGGCTATAGCTATAGCAGTTATCCTCAATCAGTTCCAGTTTATAGGTTCCTAGTAAGACACCACAATATCATTCAGTAAAGAAACCTTTACCGTCTGTCAATACCAAAAGTTATGATGTTGGTAATTCTCTGAAAGGCAAGCCGAGTTCCAGCTATAGAGACACCCGCAATCTTTTGATTTAAGTGTAATGATAAATAACCATAGTCAAGAGTGTGTTGCTTGAAAAAGTTCTTATTGGCGCCGAGCATATATAACTAGTTTTTAACTATTAAAATATTAACCCAATGGCCTTTTGGGATAAAATGATATACCTCTTTTTTATGTTTATTTGTATAGAATCTGATAATCACGGCTAGAAATCTAAAAAAGATTTTCCCCAAAGAATCTTACGAGGTTATTTTGCAAGTTATTTTCAGCTTATAAGCATTTACTTAACATTAGTAAAACGCATTTTCATTTGTTCTTATAATGGAATAGGTTTTTATTCCACTTAATTTTGACATCTCAATAAGCTCTCTTGAGGACGAATACAGAAGCTTAATATCATATGCTACACGAATTACTTTTTTATTCATAACTGTTTTTCGCTTCAAAGAAAAACCATCAAGAGTCCTGGGCATAAAAATGTCTTTCAATTGGCAAGAGTTAATCTACGGAGCCCCTAAGGCGCAATTGTACGGAGCCCCTAAGGCGCAATTGTAAACATATTTATTTATTATTTCGTTTAAACGAATTAATTATTTCGTTTAAACGAATTAATCATTTCGTTAAAACGAAATGTTATTTCGTTTAAACGAATTAAATAATTATTTCGTTTTAACGAAATAACCTATGTTTATTTCGTTTAAACGAAATAATTAATTCGTTTAAACGAAATAACTAATTCGTTTAAACGAAATAATTATTTCGTTTAAACGAAATAAAAAGATGGGTTAATTATTTCGTTTAAACGAAATAGACGAAAAAATTAATTCGTTTAAACGAAATAAACATAGTGTATTTCGTTAAAACGAAATAATTATTTCGTTTAAACGAATAAATTATTTCGTTTAAACGAAATAATAAATAAATATGTTTACAATTGCGCCTTAGGGGCTCCGTATTAATCTCATGCTCTCAACATATAAATATGTAGGGAAATATCTTTGTTGGCGACATCGATCTCGTCTTCATCGTTTGAAATGGTTTGTTTTCCAACGGGGAAAGTCCTTGATACTCGGTAGCATTGAACAACAGTTTTAGATCAGGCAAACAATTATCAGCGTGTCCTGTCACCTGCATACTAAATAAAACAACACATTCTGGGTTCATGCCCAGCACTCACATAAAGAGTCCTGCAGCCTCTGTACAATTATTTCCATGATGGAAGTAACAACTAAAAAAATATTTCAACGCCACCTTGGATATTTATTACTCACTTCATTATCTGAACCGGTGGACACAGCCAATATAAGACGAGATACCAGTTAATCCAATCGACCCACATGTAAATGGGTACGGATATTTCGGGAAATATAGATGTGTATGATTAAGGGACAACTGGTAGATAAGATCCTCATTTTCTCAAGATGTTACTCTTGTAAAAAATATTGTTTCTTTATTTCTTTCTTTCTGTACAACCTCTTGTCGATTCATTTAATGATGTCGGTAACATCTGGTAAAATGTTCCATGGTGGCAACTCGTCAACCATCGTTTGGTATTAAGAGACAAATCATAAGTTTGATAATAATATTGTTCATTAAAGTTTTTCTTGTGATAAGAAAATATATATTTGTGAGAGGGTAATTTGACTGAGTGATGTATACTGGGGTCTTGAAAATAAATAGTTATTAAATGACAGTAATTATCAGGTCTAATGAAGCTATGTTGACGGACAAACAGACAATGGTTATAGCTGGTGATTACAGAGCACGGTCATTGTCGCCCATTTGGTCGACATGATTGACAAAGAAAATGGTCATTTGTGTATATGTCAATTAAGTGTATGATCTTAATTTTTGCGTAATTTGTTAATGAAAACAATCCGATTAAAATCAGACATTGAGATTTTTTGTCTCAGACGCATTCAAGCTAATGATGTTTTAAACCATTCACCATTTGAGCTACAACCCTTCAAGATATCTATAACTTAGCCGAAAGTTGTCATTGAATTGTGTTTTGCTGTACATTTAATAGTATAGTATTTGAGTAGCCTAATTTGTGCGATATAAAAAAAATGAAATGTCGTAGACTGAACATTAAATCAATGCTGCGAATTACTCTGGTGACGTCTTGTAGGCAATCATTATAAATTTGACAAGTATATTAAAGACAGGGTGTAATTGACTAGTACTAATGATGACGATATGAATTTAATGATGTTTGATATAATCAATGGTACCAGGAAGTGTCGACGTCAGGGCAGGAAGCATCCGTTTGAAAATTACAATAGTCGAAAAACTTTTTTTCTGGGAAACGAATGGAAATAAGAAGGATGATTGTTTTCATATCTCTTGATATTTTATTACGTTGGTTTGATTGAAATTAGATACTGAATACTGATTTTCAGATATATTTTATGTGTAATGCTAAGAAACATGACGTTTCCCATCTTCACTATGTCAAGTACGAACTACTTACAACTAGACTGCAATAGCCACTATTCTTGTATCAGGGAATGCAGCAATTTAATTGGATTGTAAGCCAGCGAATACAGCCAATCAGAGCCCTCGACTTAAAGGCTGTAAACATTATAATTTTGTGGTCACAGACTTCCTCTCTAGGCCCCTGATTGGCTGTATTTACTAGCGTACAATCCAATCAAATCGCTTGATTTACTAACTTCCATGATACAAGGCGACTGTCGCAGTCAAGGTATAAGACAAAATGTAGTAATAGAAATGTAATTGACAATGTAAAAGTTTGTTTCATTTCGTATTAAGATGGTACTACAAAATAATAATGACATGGCTGCAATATTATTATAACGGCAAAATTGGTCTACTTCCTGTCATTATTTTAAATTTGATGGCAAGAGGTTCGTATCTTTAAATGGAGAAATGGGTCAAATGAGTAAACAAATCCTTCTTTAATCAACCAATATCAAACCAGCTACTTCATCGATTCCTTATTAGTACAGTAATGACAGGGATACCGAAGGAGTTCAATTCAATTTAAAAGAAAACAGGCCAAGGGTCATCCTCTTTAAAGCTTTCAGAATAATTATTTCTGCTGAAAACGGCCAAAAAGTGCTATCAACAAGCAAGCTGTAAAGAAGGGGAATTAAAGAGGTGTACTACCTATCCGGATGACCACAAAAATTTAAAATTTTCAAAATGAGTCCTATAAATCACCTGGTGTCAAAACTATACATCAGAATTCCTCTATAATCCAATAAATACATAAACTAAGTAACAATTCATTAAACTAAGTAATTTTGAAACATGCTTAGAAGCATTAATGCTTAGAAGCATTTATTAATTAGTTTAATGGATATATCCCCTTGTATAGAGAATCTATCTGATGAATATATACCAAGTTTAGACTTTATATTATATATGTCCATTCTAAGAGGTAGTATTCCTTCCTGATCCTGTTTTGACTGCTCCGTGACCATTCTTATTGAATTAGCGACATGTTTTCATAAAATTCTGATTGTATTTCTTTTGATCTTAATGTTTAGTTTCGTTTTTAACGGCACGATCTGATTAAATGCCATTCTCCATGGTCAATCAAAACCTCTTTTATTAATGGGCCTATATTATTTGGCATACGTCATAATGTGGCAGTCAAAAACAGAACTTTGTATTGGTTGAATATTTCAGAGGCCTACAAATATTACGATAAATACCAAAGGCATAGCAAGATAGAAGTTACTGTTCCGATAAACACCATGTGCCTTAAGCAACGTTACTTGATAATGATCATGTTAGATGTAAATGATAATCGTACCGTTGCTTAAGGAACATTGATAAACATACGAATTGGACGAAACAGCCAGGTCTCCATTTAAGTCTGTTGTCCCTTTGGAGATAATAGGGTTAATTGTTGGATGTTTGAATTTCTCGAGCTGACGGAGTTATAACCCTTGAATCAATAATGCTTTCATCTGACTGAATTGCTTATCGGGTTTTAGTTGATTTGACATCAGTGCCTAAACCATGGTATATTCTTTATTTTAGATCCAGAAACACCGAAGAAACGCCAATATGTCAGCAATATCTACAGTATTTTATATATGCGTTATATTGATTGTAACCAGCCAAGCTAGACATCAGAGAAGTGTACCAATGGCTTGTCAACCATGTGATATAAACATGTCTTTATCTGTATTCGTCAAACAGTCAGCTATATGTGGCCCATGTGGTACGATGTTCGGCTCCGAATATGAACACTGTTGTATGTGTTACGAGGACTTCAGGAAGTTTTGCTCGGTTGCCTCATTGAGAAGAAAGAAATAAGCCTTGCATCCAGCATTAAAATGTGAATACTCTTATTCGCTTTTTGTTTTTGTTTTGCCCAGTGTGCATCAACACCAGGGAAATTATTGACATGACACAACAATACCATAGTGCCAGCCCCTCCCCTATCCCCCAGAGAAACTGTTTTCGGCTTCTGGTAATAGTATTTGACGTCACCCATTATTACTTAAAATTCTAAGTACCGATCTGGTACCGGATCAAAGCTATTTATGCACATGCGGGGAAGATTTAAAACGCATACATGAACAACCATGATTATTTCAGGCAGTTTAAGAAACAACAAACACGATATAATTCTGACTGGTATAGTTCAAATCACTTTTATTCTACCTCTAAATAAAGTGAACTGTATTAAATCTTCCCTGGGTCATCTTCACAATGTCAAGCTAACTTACGAAGTTCATAATAGCTTGACGTTGTGAAGATGTCCCAGGCAAATACTTTTACACGACTTGACAAACAATCATCACGAGCGTCTTTTTTCTTCATTAAAATACAGACACCTTTATAAACACAAAGTAATTATATTAAAAATATTCTTGGGAAAAACGTCAAAATAATCTAAAAATGGCCCCAATATTGAATTAAAACAAAAGGAAATTGTCTGTCTGTAGATTGACATCTCTTAGAAATTGCATTATTGTGGTCTGATGGAATTTTTAAAAGATATAAGGCTAAAAGAATTTTATTTCAATTTATATCTTTATACATTATCTTTTATCAATGATTTTTTCTTTCGAAGGTATTGTCATGTCTGAAATTTGTTTGAAACTTATAGTAAGCTGACCTAGATTAAAAAACCAAACCACCATTTCCAGAAACCAATTGAAGTTCCACTTCTTTGTATATAGTAAATATGCCGGTCCATCATTCTACAATGCCATACAATCAATTTTAATGGTTATATAATCAAATTAAGTAATGAAATAATGAAATAAAACCTGATACTATTCAATTATTTTTCTATATTTTATTAATAATAAACAGTATATCAACACAAATAACATAAATATAAGCGGATTTTACTGAGACGATCTTAACCGTTAATAAATAATCAGAAAAGTACGTCACCGTCAAAGACGAAAGCAAGCTTATATATTGCAGATTACAGATGCAAGAACTTAGATATAAATTGTGTTTATGAAAATATTGAGAAAGGATATCACACACAATATAACGATTTAATAAGTGTATTACGAACGGAATTTCTTTTCTTAAAAAAAATATTATCTTCATTTGATTTTTGGATCAGAGATTTTAGAGATTTCAACTTTCTTTGTCTTCACAGCAACATGGTTTCTTGGTTGGTTTGGGTTTTTCTGAAATCAAATTCAAGACAAAGTTATGGTTGAAGTCAAATCAGACAGATCTATGCCTTGCATAAACTTAACTTAACTAAATGTAAATGTAAATGCCATTATTTTACATAGAAAGATATAAGATTGTAGGAATGCCTAGCGTCAACATCTTAGTCAAGATGCGGTTATCCATACCAAAAACAATCATTAAACTTTGGAACGAAGAGTTAGTTATGGTTTCAGATATGGGGAATTATTCTATAGATTTGAGAGAAGTCATGGCCAGAGATGTCGACCGCATGAGTAACTGCTAACGTATTCCGATTCTAAAAGCCTCACCAAAACAACAGGAAATGGGGTAAAATGCAAATATTCGGACTAAAAGTACGAACAAAAACTTGAAAGTGTATTTACACATTAACGACTTATCTGATAACGTTGTAAGGGTCTCACCTTTTTCACAGGCTTTTCCAAACAGATCTTCTTTAATTTGATCCAATTCATCATACGTTTCAACAATATAAACTTGACTTGGATCACCAGCGATTTTATTTAATTCTTCTTCGTTGACACTTTCACTGACGCCAACCGCCATCATCTGTATACCAGCATTACGAGCTAGCTTAGCTTCATCAGCAGTCTTTTTGCTATCCTGCGATTCCCCATCAGTGATGACTATACAGATGTGACGTACACCAGTTCGAGCTTCTGACATAATATTTTTTCTCATAAATTCGATACCCAGGCCTGAAATTTAGATACGTGTGGAGCCAAACGTTAGTAACAAAATAAAATAAAAGTAGAAAGATAAAAATAATATCGCAACAGTGACAATATATATTTTAGAAATCGTATTCTTTTGAAAATAAAAATCATGAACCTTACCGGAAAAGCAGCTTGTTATTTAAAAACCCACCTGTTTCTGTGCGTTCACCAGCGTACCACTGCAGTCCGGCGATAAATCTGTCTACGTCAGCTTTATTTTGGTTATTGGTGAAATAGTAAACATCATTAGGTCCTGTATATACCTGGTCCGCATACATCATTATACCAATCCTGACATTGTGGGGACCAATATAGAATGGATCAATAAAACTCGTCACAAACTTCTGTGCTTTGGTGAAATTCTGATACCAGATACTGGAGGAGGAGTCAAACACGAATGCGATATCTATTGGTCCTTTGAAACAATCTGAAAAACAAAACGAGATAAAGAAAAGCATTCGCCTCGAACCATTTTGGATTATTTTAGTCGAAATGCTTTCGCTATGGATTGCTCTGTTATTCCAACCATTCTGTGGTTCCTGCAATTCCTCTAAAACTTGCATCACATTAGTGCGTTATCAAACACTTAGTTTTAGTGGAATTGTTGGAACAAAAGAAGCCAGATTAAAAAACCTGTTTACAATCCCTTTAAGAGTGCGTGTATTAACTAGTGAAATCGGTTTCGCTTGAAAAAACCATGACGTTGCTAGTTTGTAGGCTAAATAAATCTTTCAGATGCTCTTTTGGTGATATGAATTACATTTTCTTTATGCTTCTTTTAAAGTTTAATATCAGATAATATCTTGCAATGAAGCCTCATATGGATCGACTATGAACATATTAACAGTAGGCCTACCTTTATCTAAAAACACTTCTGACAACCAGCCTCTCTCTGAAACAAAACGCAATACGGTATGATAGCTGAAATTTTAAATCAAATGGAATGGTCATGTCTTTTCATTCTCTCCTTCCCAATAAAGGGGTATATTAGGAAACCGATGGTCATATTTGATTATAAAGAGAAGCATCATTTGGAATAGAAGTAACAATTGGAGACCAGTGATTCAGAACAGTGCAGACCTGGAGACAGGAGAATATGTTGCTATTTTGTATATTTTGAGATGAACCATGAACTCACTCTCTAGAATCATCATGCCTGATTTCATTCACAATGGTGGACCAGGGTTTCGTTTTTCGTAATTGCACCGTGAAGGATATAGCTATTCAAATTACTATCAACTTACCTACACCGGCAAGACTGGCCGAGTCACAAACAAGCTACAAGAGAAAGCAATTCTTATAACAGAAATACTTAGGAGTTGCATCCCATATATCAGTATCTATCATTTCCAAAGTTTCATTCTTAACCCAATCTCTGTGATTCTCCAGCAATAACCAATTACAGACTAAAATAAGCCTTTTAATACCAATATCTCATAATATACAAAACTTACAGGACAGTCGCGCTGAAAAGCTAAAAACCCACTTACCATGACACAGGACAATGCTAAGATTACTTTCCACATGGTGAGAATAAGTTGAGCTATTGTCTCTAATAAATTGTGAACGTCAACTTCATGCAACTTTTATACATCACCAAAGTAATTATATTAATTACTAATAATCATAGACATATTATCCCTCACTTTAAAACATGTTTAATCGGTACCCTATACTTCTGTTATTTGTATAACAGAAAAGGGATTCAAATCCGTAGCTAGCCTAAGATCGAGAGGTGCTCAACTGTGTGGCTTTAAGGCATAGTCGGTTCCTGTACTGTGTCATAAGAATAGCACGATTAACGTCATCGGCAAGAGGTTGCAAAATATTACATTGACGGACCCTTAGATACCTCCGGAGATGAATTTTTGAAAATTTCTGTCTTTGAATATACTGGATTTTTAAAAGAGATTTTTTTTATGATGCACATTAAGACATAAGAAGACGAATACCTTATGTTTGGATCTATGGTAAAGTGTCTGATGAAAAGTGCTAGAGAAATATTGTTACATTCCCTTTAAGAAAGAAATGTTATATAGTGTTCATCTAAAAAGTTCGGGGATGAGTCACTAATTATCTAATTACATAATTTGTGAATTAATTACTTAATGAACATTACGTGCGAAATCGTCTCCAGTACTATTTAGTATTATTTGAAGCCAATGTTTCCAGTGCGCCGTGTTCTATATTTTAGATCTAGAAACACCGAAAAAACGCCAAGATGTCAGCAATATCTACAGTATTTTATATATGCGTTATATTGATTGTAACCAGCCAAGCTAGACATCACAGAAGTGTACCAATGGCTTGTCAACCATGTGATATAAACATGTCTTTATCTGTATTCGTCAAACAGTCAGCTATATATGGGCCAGTCTGACTGGTATAGTACAAATCACTTTTTATTCCACCTCCAAATAACAAATGAACTGTCTTGAATCTTCCCTGGGTCATCTTCACAATGTCAAGCTAGTACAAACTTCGTACTTATAAGTTCGTTATAGCTTGACACTGTGGAGATAAGTACGAAGTTCTTAATAGCTTGACACTGTGAAGATAAGTACGAAGATCGTAATAGCTTGACACCGTGAAGATAAGTACGAAGTTCGTAATAGCTTGACACTGTGAAGATAAGTACGAAGTTCGTAATAGCTTGACACTGTGAAGATAAGTACGAAGTTCGTAATAGCTTGACACTGTGGAGATAAGTACGATATTCGTAATAGCTTGACACTGTGAAGATAAGTACGAAGATCGTAATAGCTTGACACCGTGAAAATAAGTACGTAGTTCGTAATAGTTTGACACTGTGAAGATCAGTACGAAGTTCGTAATAGCTTGACACTGTGAAAAAAAGTACGAAGTTCGTAATAGCTTGACACTGTGAAGATAAGTACGAAGTTCGTAATAGCTTGACACTGTGAAGATAAGTACGAAGTTCGTAATAGCTTGACATAGTGAAGATGACCCGGGTGTGCAGAAATACCTTTCCTTGACCATCAATTGACAATTGCGTATTTTTCCTTCATTTCGTCATTAAATTGCCTTTATAAAGAAAAATTAATTATCTTAAAATCTTATCACCAGTATTTGAGAAAAAATGCAAAAGTGATCTGAAATATCTTTAAAATTGAATTAAAACAAAGGAAATCAAAATTGTCTGTCTGTAGATTTGCATGTTTTATTATTATTATTTCATTGTGATGGAATTTTAAAATGATTTAGGGCTGAACTAATATTTTATAAGCTTATGTCTGTGCATTAACTTTTTATCTTATTTTTCTTTCGAAGGTAATGTCATGTCTGAAATTTGTTTGAAACTTACAGCAAGCTTACTGAGATTAGAAAAACAAACCACCATTTCCAGAACATTGAAACAAATGCAGTTGTATGTTTCATTTTCTGCAATCAGTAAATGTCAGTACATCATTCTCCAATACCATACAAACAAATGGTACAATTTCAATGATTATATAATCAAAACGTCGAGGAAATATCAAATGAAGAAACTATGTGTTCAAAAGGAAAGGTATTTCTGCACACCTATAGCTGATTTGGTCGGAAAACTGTACTTTGCATAACATTCAAAACATGAATCAAGTATTAATAATTTGTATTTTTCCGCACAGTAAAAACGGCGAGCTTAGGCAAGTGTACATCCCTGTCGACATTCCCAAGTAAGAGGGGAAGACATTCACTGAGTAATGATATGATGCCCACATCAATAGATGACTTGGTCTTGACCGGAATATTTCAATGGGTATTTTACAATGAAATGGTGTTATTCAAATAAATGAAATTATTTTGCAAATAATAATAAATAATAATGAAATAAATAAATTAATACACAACAAAAATATACAATTTAAACGGATTTTGCTTGAAGAACACGATTCTAACCGTTAATCAAAAATCAGAAAAGGACGTCACCGGCAAAGTCAAGAGCAAGCTTATATAGATTGGTAGATGCCAGACTTAAGAGTCATATTTTGGTTATAAAAATTTGTTTCAGTGAGATATTTAGAAAATTATCGGCAAACTTCAAAGATTTAAGCAAAGCATATCCATTAGATGTTTCGATCAGAGCCTTGACAGACTTCAACTTTCTTCGTCGTCACAGCAGCATGGTTTCTTGGTTGGTTTGGTTGTGGGATCTAATGAAATAAGAATCGGAATTTGATCCAAGACACAACTGATACAAACCCCACTGCCCTGAATACTAATCAATTAGAACATCAATTGTTTTCTGAGTATTTCTTAATTCTCTTGATAAAGGATAAGTTCGATCAATAAACTTGAAATGTCTTTATCTTAGATCGAGACAGGCTATATTGCAGGAAAGCCTATTGTCGAATTGCCTTGCGGTTATCCTACCCAATAACAAGCATTGCACTCTGAAACAAAGTCTCTGGGCATCAAATCTAAATGGTTTTTAACAGGGCTGATTTCTGGGATGCTTTGACTCGAAAATATGGCCGCATGTGTATCTGCTTAGAATTTCTATGTAAACTATTCCAGATGAAATGTGAACAAAGTTAGCCAAATAAAAGCGTCGCTTCACTCATATGAACAATACATTCGACAACGTTGAAGGATCTCACCTTTTTCACAGGCTTTTCCAAACAGATCTTCTTTAATTTGATCCAATTCATCATACGTTTCAACAATATAAACTTGACTTGGATCACCAGCAATTCTATTTAATTCGTTTTCGTTGACACTTTTACTGACGCCAACCGCCATCATCTGTATACCAGCATCTCGAGCTAGTTTAGCTTCAGCAGCAGTCTTTTTGCTATCCTGCGATTCCCCATCAGTGATGACTATACAGATTTTACGTACACCAGTTCGAGCTTCTGACATGATATTTTCTCTCATAAATTGGATACCCAGACCTGAAAACACAACGATACTTGATATAAATGTCTTGATTTTCAATGTTGAGAATTATATCTACCATACCAAGGTGACGTGGACCTGCTTAACATTCCTGTCTGTCCATAATTTGCTGATTTTAACCAGTACAGTGTGAGTAATAGCCATATTCTGCTCTAATTTTTATCATAAATATCAGGACTAAATGTGGATTTTGTCGTTATTGAAATAAACGCTGCTTCATCGACCATGTGGCTTGTCACATAGTAATAAACCCACCTGTTTCTGTGCGTAACCCAGCGTGCCATTCTAAATTGGCGATAAAACTGTCTACGTCAGCTTTATTTTGGTTATTGATGAAATAATAAACATCCTTAGGTTCTGTATATACCTTGTCCGCATACATCATTATACCAACCCTAACATTGTGGGGACCAATATAGAATGGGTCAATAAAACTCGTCACAAACTTCTGTGCTTTGGTGAAATTAACATTCCAGACACTGGAGGATGCGTCGAACACGAATGCGATATCTATTGGTCCTTTGAAACAATCTGAAAAACAAAACCTGTGTTAATGACTCGCTGTTCATGGCGTTGCTGGTCGAAAGAAAGGTAAATTTCTGAGTGTTATTTGCTGATGGGTTTACATTCTCTAGTACATTCCAGTTCAATATCAGAGAGGTCTTTGGCAAAAGTGACAAAGTAAAACACTAAGTTAATGTAGAATTACATGACCCACAGACGTCTGAACGGTGCCCATCGATGCTAATAAAACATTTCGAAAACCTATTTACAACCCTTTAAAGGAATACTACCTCTTAGGAGGGACATAAAAGTCTCAAACGTGGCCAATAAGAGTATATATTCATCAGTTGGACTTACCAGGTGTCAATTGGATTATTGAGGGATTCTATTGTATATTGATGGCATCATACAAGTCCACTGATGAAAAACGACCCAACGCTTAACTAAGTTTAAAAATTTCATTTCTGCCTGCCTATCTTAAGAGGTAGTATACAAGTGATTTCTTGCGATCACGAATTACAAAAAGACTAAAGTCAAAGCTATCTATATATTAATTATACCTTTATCTAATGTTAATATTTCAGGAAACCACCCTCTCTCTGAAACAATATACAATATAGTATCAAAATAAAAATGGCAAAATCGGGAGCAAAAGTTTTATAGTAGAGGACTCCCCCTAATAGAAATACCATCAGATGTTTCGAAAAGAGTAAGCATGGTCTGCTACAAGCTGAAATTTCATATCAATAGAATGGTCATGCCGTTTCATTATCTTGTTCCCAATAAGTTTACCTGTGTGTTGGGAATGTAGTTCTAAACGTCTTGAAGAGGCAATGAGTATAAAGATACTCTTCTACTTAAGAATTGACATCATTGGAAATGAAAGTTACAATTGGAGATCAGTAAGTGAAGCTGAACACAGCCAGGACTCAAGCACGAGTGATATGCCATCCATTTATTGTGCTATTTTGTAGCAGACCATATTTTGAGCAACACACAAACACTTAAACACAGTCACCATGACAGATATTGCTCACCTGGTGCACCACTGATACGTATGTTGTTTGAAAGAAGTTTATACTATGAAAGGCAGAGACTCTTAGAAAGACAAAAAATTAAAAACCTACCAACTGACCTACACCAGCAAAAATATTTTGCAATGCATGTATTTACTCCCTATAATCATCATTTCAGATTTCACTTACTACGACGATGAACCATTGT